GATGCCAACTGTATCAATCATCAGCAGGAAACTCCGCTACTCCTGCACATCAAAGGATACGGCCGTTTTCTCCCCATCGACAAACACCTGCGCATCATGGAGGCCTTGCTTTTGAGCCCCTTCATCAACCTGAACTATCGAGATAAATATGGGCGTACTGCATTTTGGCATGCGATGGACAATCCAAGCCCAAGGCTGGCTGAACTCCTCCTACAACAAAGGAATATGGATTCAAACTGTATCGACAAGTTCGGTCAGACTCCTTTGGCACAGGCTGCTCAAAATGGCTTCTTACCTCTGGTCAAGCTTCTCCTACGAGATCCGAGACTTGATATAAGTCCCCGATGTGCCGATGCAGTACCGCCCCTTTGGTCAGCATGTCGTGCAGGACATTGCTCCATGGTAAATTTTCTCCTGCAGAATTCGGCCGATATCAATCAGAGAAGTCCGTCAGGACTGACGCCACTATGGATTGCAATAGCTATGGAGCATGTAAATATAGTACATCTTCTTCTCAGCTACGAAGAGACTATATCAGTCAATGACCAAGGTCCTCAATCCTTTACTGCGCTCATATTCGCATCAGCCAATGGCAGGCTTAAAATTGCCACATTTCTATTGGAACACCCTGGTATCAACGTAAATGCAGTGGATGATCAGGGAAGGACCGCTTTCTGGTGGGCCGCATCTGGTGGGCATTTTGATGTTGTGCAAGTTTTGTCCAAGGAGCGTGGTATCAAAAAGAGATTGAAAGATTTGGAAGGCAAGACAGCATACGCCATCGCCAAGGATCATAATCATGTAAACGTCAGGCATTATTTGAGAAATTTTTAGACTTCAAGCTAGAATTTATAACATTCAACTCAAGCGGTAACATCAGCCAGCTCTGGAATTGAGTCCTTCACTTCAGAATTCTGCCTTTGACCTCACTTTCATAACTCGGGCTTTCATACTTAGCAAGTCACGAAGCACAAGTCATCTACGAAGAAGACTATGAATTACCATCCGGGATGTACACTCGTGCGGGGGTATAAAGTTCATTTGGTCTTAACTGAGAGCGCCATGATGATCCGGGGGCAAAAATACATCCAAACAATGCCATTAGCTCTGATCCTTTAGCTTTATAAACAAAGCATCCGTTTCGATCGCATCGACCCATTCCTGAGAACCATTGCCTGGAATCTGAAGAGAGCCCTTCATGTAAATCTTGCGACCTTCAACCCTTTCAGGCCATGCTCGAAGGAGTATCGGGGTTGTTGGTGGAACCGACTGGAGATAAGACGTGTTCAAATAGGCAGTGACCGCCGGTTTGCAACAATCGGCAAGAATGCGGTCCATCAGTAGGGCAATGTAACCGCCGAACAATTTTCCATTGTAGTAGCACATCTTTTGTGCAGGGCTCAAAAGCAGAAGAGACTCCGCTTCCCACCCGAGAGAATGGGGCTTGAATGTAGGACAATATCCCTGAAACAATATATTCATCATCTCGATTTGGGGTTGGTCGGAAGCGAATACAGAGCATGGCTTAAGAAAGTCAATACACCACACGGTAAGCAAGTGCCTTAGATGTTAGACTCACATGTGGGCGCTTGGCTAATTTGCTGCCATCGTCACAAGAGGCTCCCGGGTAATGTTCCCCAAATGATCGGTATCCGCGAATGGTTCGATGAAAAAGAGAGAGTAAACATTTTCGTTTAATAATTCCAGACATTTTTGCTACGGGGCTTGTAAACAAGAAGAATAGTCACACACCGCAGATTTCGACATACCGGCTGGACCTTTATGTAGACCTTTCCGCAATGGCAATATGCCTACATGTGGAACTCATATCTTTTTTACCAGTGGACCGTCCTGATTTTCCATTTACAAACGCGTTCAATAGGAGAGTGCTCTGAATGCGTCGAGCAAATGCTTGATATGACGAAGATTCTCGTCCCAAACTTCCTCTACGTAACCTTGAACGCTTTTTAAGATATTAACCGCTTCTAAAATCGTTTCTTGACCACTCTTGACCACTCTTGACCACTCTTGACCACTCTTGACCACTCTTGACCACTCTTGACCACTATTAACCACCCTTAACCCCTCTTCTTAACCACTCTTCTTAACCACTCTTCTTAACCACTCTTCTTAACCACTCTTCTTAACCACTCTTCTTAACC